TCTTGATCAGGCTGGTGGTGTTGTTGCTCCAGCTGAGGTTGTCATTTATGTGTACACCCAAGTACTTGTAGCTGGAGACCACTTCCACCGCAGATCCTCTTATGTTCAGGGGGGTGTAGATGTTTTTGTTCCTTCTGAAGTCCACAATCATCTCCTTTGTCTTCTTCACATGGATGTGAAGGTTATTCTCTTTGTGTGATGTGATGGTGTTCCTATTGAGTTTGTTGATTCTTACAAATACTTAGATATTTTGGTCGATCCACACTTCTCTTTTAAGCCTCATGTTGAAAACATGGTAAGGAAACTGAAAGTAAAACTGGGTTTCTTTTTCAGAAACAGATCCTGTCTAACTAAATGCTAGGAAACACCTTGTAACTGCAACTTTCCTTCCCTCGATTGACTACAGTGACATTATTTACATGAACACCCCCACAAGAACCCTGCAGATGCTGGATGCTGTCTATCATGGTGCACTAAGATTCATAACTGGCTGTAACTACCGTACACACCATTGCACCTTATATTCACTGGTTAACAGGTCATCATTCTTTAAACAAATCGAGGTTGTTTAAAGAGCTTTAAAATAGGTAAGATATTTCAATTTTACCTTTTCCACACAATCCCACATTAAAAGACCTGAACAATTCCTTTAAGGCCTTGATAGCCACCTATTGCTGAGACCAAATATAGGAGACAAGAAAAAGTTAATGTCAGATCTCAATAGGGCGACCAGACGTCCCTGGAAATGTTCCCGATTTTAGCATTTTATGAATGAGAAAAAAAAATGTTGCATGTAGACTGTTATTACAGTAGCCGGGTAGAAAGCACGAGTGAGTGTGTTGTGCGCAACAAAAGCTATTATTGTAGCTGTTAACATTACAGACAGAGAATAGCGCAGCATGCCACCTTTAAAACAGAAGAAGAAGAAGCGCAGCTTGAGCTTGTCACCACCAATGGGGAGCTCTCCTGTGATATGGTATGTGTGAACCAACTTGTTTAGTTTGAACTGGGCAGATCCTAGCAGTGATAAATGTTTGGTTTGTGGTAAAAAAAAAATGTTTCTAGTGTTGTCAGTTGTTCCCAGGTCAAAAAAACAAAAAATGGGGCTGAGGTGTGTTTGTTTACTCAGTTTGGACGTATGAAAATTCCTCAGTGACAGAAACTGAATGAAGCAAGAACTGAACAGAAAATGATAAGGAGGGAGAGCTCATCATCTGCTTAAATGTGTATTTCTTCTGTTCTAAGAGCTTAAACCTGTTCAGATACACCAAAATGCAGGAAATGACATCTACTGTTTTTAAAATTTTCTGGGGAAGGACCCACAGACCCCCCACCAGTGTGCCTCCCCCATATTACAAATGTTTCTGAAGTGTGCTATTACTATTACCAGTACTTTGTTTTATTGCTCAGGAAATGTGTGAGGAGAGGCACATTCCTGCTGCTTGATTTGATTTTTATTGTTTAAACATGAATAAATATGTAAAAATAAATGAAATCGTAACTGTCCCTGGTTTTTAATTTCATCTTAATGAGATTTTATTATTTTTGTCTCTGAGCTTGAAATGTCCCCAGATTTAATTTCAGAAATCTGATCACCTTACACTACAGGTGCTGGTCATAAAGTTAGAATATCATGAAATAGTTGATTTATTTCAGTAACTCCATTCAAAAAGTGAAACTTGTATATTATATTCATTCATTACACACAGACTGATATATTTCAAATGTTTATTTCTTTTAATGTTGATTATTATAACAGCCAACTAATGAAAACCCCAAACTCAGTATCTCAGGGAATTAGAATATAACTTAAGACCAATAAAAAAAGATTTTTTAGAAATGTTGTCCAACTGAAAAGTATGAACATAAAAAGTATGAGCATGTACATCGCTCAATACTTAGTTGTAGCTTCTTTTGTCTGGATTACTGCAGCAATGCGGCGTGGCATGGAGTCGATCAGTCTGTGGCACTGCTCAGGTGTTATGAGAGCCCAGGTTGCTCTGATAGTGGCCTTCAGCTCTTCTGAATTGTTGGGTCTGGTGAATCACATCTTCCTCTTCACAATACCATATAGATTTTCTATGAGGTTAAGGTCAGACAAGTTTGTTGGCCAATTAAGAACAGGGATACCATGGTCCTTAAACCAGGTGTTGGTAGCTTTGGCACTGTGTGCAGGTGCCAAGTCTTGTTGGAAAATGAAATCTGCATCTCCATAATGTTGGTCAGCTGCAGGAAGTATGAAGTGCTCTAACACTTCCCGGTAGATGGCTGCGTTGATTTTGGACCTCAGAAAACACAGTGAACCAACACCAGCAGATGACATGGCCCCAAACCATCACTGACTGTGAAAACTTGACACTGGACCTCAAGCAACGTGGATTATGTTCCTCTCCTCTCTTCCTCCAGACTGTGGGACCTAGATTTCCAAAGGAAATGCAAAATTTATTTTCATCAGAAACATAACTTTGGACCACTCAGCAGCAGTCCCAGGTGAGACGCTTCTGATGATGTCTCTTGTTCAAGAGTGGCTTGACACAAGGAATGTGACAGCTGAAACACATGTCTTGCATATGTCTGTGCATGGTGGTTCTTGAAGCACTGACTCCAGCTGCAGTCCACTTTTTGTGAATCTCCCCCACATTTTAGAGTGGGTTTTGTTTCACCATCCTCTCCAGGGTGTGGTTATCCCTATTGTTTGTACACTTTTTTCTACCACATCTTTTCCTTCACCTCTCTAGTAATGTGCTTGGACACAGAGCTCTGTGAACAGCCAGCCTCTTTAGCAATGACCCTTTGTGTCTTGCCCTCCTTGTGCAAGGTGTCAATGGTCGTCTTTTGGACAACTGTCAAGTCAACAGTCTTCCCCCTGATTGTGTAGCCTACAGAACTAAACTGAGAGACCATTTAAAGACCTTTGCAGGTGTTTTGAGTTAATTAGCTGATCAGATTGTGGCACCAGGTGTCTTCAATATTGAACCTTTTCACAATATTCTAATTTTCTAAGATACTGAATTTGGGGTTTTCATTAGTTGTCAGTTATAATCATCAACATTAAAAGAAAAAACTTTTGAAATATATCAGTCTGTGTGTAATGAATGAATATATTATACAAGTTTCACTTTTCGAATGGAATTACTGAAATAAATCAACTTTTTCATATTACATATACACTCGAACACTTGCTCTTGCCGAGATCGGACGCTTTTCCCCTCCCTCTCCGCTTTGCTTTGCTGCTCTGTCTGTCTGTGAAACTGCTTCTGAGCCTCTCTTGCATATCTTACGAACCATAATTATGACCTGTTTTGGTCAGTTGGTCCCTCAACACAAATGATAACATTTCATTTCAGGCAGGAAAAAAAATGTCTGATAGAATTTCTTTTTACTTCCAATTTCTACAAGTGTCCAGTTTCACTACTTTTTTGTCTGTCTAAACAGATCTCACTTGTAAACGAGTCGTCTAGGCTCAATGTGACTTATCTGTCTAAATAAAGGTTGAATGAATGAATATTCTAATTTTATGACCAGCACCTGATATGCTCCTCAGATTTTCACTTTCAGTAGCTAAGCCCCAAAATACTTTATTTATTTTTCTCATGTCAGACAAAAGACACCTTCAGGTCCAGTCAGACAGATTGTGCTTGTTGTTCTATATCCATGTTTCAAGTAATAACAAAATTATTGCAATTCCTTAAGTGATGAAAACAAAATCATTCAACACACATTTACTATTGTACAACACAACTACTTGTAAATATATGAAATGAAAAATCTCAAAAGTCTTTTTATTTTTAATGAAAATGACAAACAAAAACAAAAAGGGGACAGATTATGACTGAAACGGCTGAAGTCGTGTATTAGACCCAGATTAACTTCACAACATATTTCTGCTCAGAGACGATTTGTCTCCCATCTTAAAATGTCTAAATTTACCTGGATTATTGAGCATGAACTTAGATGTCTTGAACCACTTTGGCTGTGGTTGCCTGGAAGGAGTCGACGGGGAAGAGGACAGCCCCCAGAAACCATCTTATCACCAGAAAACTGGTTGGTCCACTGTAGGAGTGGGGAAAACAGTTAGTGACTTCTCAGACTGATGAAGCCCTTTGGATGGAGGGTGAAACGTCTCTCAACAAAAAAAAAAACTTTCCAGATGACCCGATTGAACATTGTTGGATTTTTTACTTGGATGATTGAGCATGAACCTTGATAAAATGCTTCCAGTTAAGCTAAAAAAAAAACTAAAGTTGAAAAATTGTTAAATAATTTCTCAGGTTAGCACTCTTTTTTTCTCTCTCATAGAACCCTGAAGTAATTTTGTCGTGAAATGACACCAAATACCACTGAAATGAGTTGAAGTTAACAGTTATACACAAATACTCCTTATTTTTTTTGATAAAAATGCACAACTCAAACTAAATGCAACATTTTATGAAAAAAGCCTAAAACAATAACAAATATTTGAAAGCATTTCCTCAGGCAGTGATTGTATCTGTTCAAAACAATTCAAAGGTAAAATTTCCACATTCATTAGAAACAAGAATCATGGGAGGGAGAAAAAAAAAGACAGATGAGTAACGGTTTTGCAAAGACGGTAGATATACTTAGACGGAAGTGATGTTATTTTTTTTAATACTAAAAAAGTTCTCACGATTCCGTTCATGCCTTCGCATGCCAGTCATTCATACGTCTTACCAAACCCAGAAAGGTTGTGTTCACAAGCACAACAGGTATTTTCCTCTCCCATCCTCTGCCTGACCCCATACTTAAGACTAAAAATAAGACTAGACTCTGCCCAACACATGAGGTCAAAAGGATTAAAAAATACTTTAAGCCTCCGGGACATTTGTACAGCATTTGCATGCCAGAACATTACAAAACGCTAATAAATACCCAGCAATCAGAGGCTAGTATCTTGACATTTCACTTGCCATTCACAAAGCAGACAAACTGCCATCACAACATTCTTTAGGCAAAAGCACGCCCACATGAGAAAACTATTCAGAGATCCAGACGCCACTAAGGTTTCCTCACTGAACCATACGCCAAAAGCTTGTGTTTTATGAGCTGCTTTATGGGTGAGTTTGTTACGTTTTATTAAAGGCATTCACCTGTTTCTGTGTCAAAGCTAAAGATACTTTTCCAAGAGGAACATTTTCAAGAAGCTATTTTTACATCAGTTTTGGCCTTTAACGAGACGTTTTCCTTTTCGGTTGACAGATTACTCTCTAAGAAAACAGCTTTCATTAAAATAATAAACCGACATATTTTTCATCAACGAGGACAGCAGGAGAAAAGCATTCCAAATGATGGCAGGTAACGTGATTTATTTTAAACAACGGCTGTCAAAAAAAAAAAGAAAAATCAGGATTGAAAAATGTTTATTTTTGTTTTCATAGAGCACGGAAACCCCTGTGATGCACAGGATGCCACTTATTGCTTAAATGGAGCGTCATGTTATGAATTATCTTCAATGAAAGCGTTTTCCTGTGTGTAAGTGTCATAAAAATCGTCTTTTTTAAATTTTAAACAAAATGTGATAATATGTGGACGCTTAAAATGGTAACAATGTTAGCAGGTTTCTATGATTTTTCAACTTTCTTATTTTAGGTGCAGAGAAAATTACAAAGGAAGTAGATGTGAGCTGTATGAGCTCTTAGCCCAGTCTCCGGATGAACAGGACCGAGGATTATTAGCAGCTGTGGTCATTGTTGGCGTTCTCATCTTAGTGGTGCTGGCAGTCATTATCTACTATGTTGTCAGGTATGTGAACATGTTAGGGGCTTACGATATTAAAAATAAGAAAATATCATTAAGATGTGCTTTGATTTACAAAAACAAGATTTACCTTTTTTTTTTTTTGTACAGGATGCTGATGTTAAAACCTAACAACCAAAACAACCGAAACAGCAGAGAAAAAAAGAGAATGAATGTATAAAATTGAAAGTATGACCTTCCCAGATGATGTACAGTCCCCCCCCCCTCCAACACACACACATTCTAAATATATATATTTTAAAAACACTTATTGGACTAATCTGCTGCTAAATCTGCTGTTTTGGCCTCGGATGAGCCAAGACGAAGCGCCAACAGCTGATGAGTTTCTGATGAAATTTTCTGTATTTTGTGTGTTTTTAGCCACAGAAAGGCGTCACATGCAAACGTGATGACACAAGCGTCGACACGGTGTCCTTGACAAAGCATTAAAGTTGGAGTTTGTTCCTTCAGTTAAATCACATTTCAACGTGTTTGTTTAAATGTGTTTACGAAGTCTAATGGAGCAAACTAAGACATATGGGTGACAGTGGACTCAACATAATGTAACTATAACATTTTTGAATATAGTGCCAATAAATATATATATTTTTTGTAAATGGTTAATGTGGTTAATGGTTAAGCTTTGATTTATACTTCAACAGTGTGCACATACACATTTTAAAACCGAGTCAGTCTCAAGCCTGTGCTGAGTCAAACCGTCAGCATTTCATTCATGACCTGCAGTTCCCTTGCACATTCATACTCCTACTCTGATCTTGTTTTAACCCTAAACCCTTTAGTTGCTTCTTGGAAATGTCAGGACTTGCATTGAGCTCACATTCCAAAAATCTCTGGCTCTAGCAAAGCTGGAAATTCAGCAGTAAATGCAAAAAGCAAGCTGCCGTGTGCTGTTCAGTTCATTTAAATCTAAAAACAGGCCAACACGGAGCGGTTTAAAGTGCAAAGGTGCTAAAAAAACACATTTAATTGAGTGTGCAAGGAGAGAAATAACCCTTGGACTGCTTGAGTTAAACTTTTTAAATCTTCCAGCATCCTACACAAATGTAAATCAAGCGTAGAACCAAATAAAAATAAAAAAAGTATTGCAGATAGCTAAGTTTCTCGTTAAAATTCCAAATATCATCAAGAACGAGAAAGTCTGGGTGAACTTGCAACAAGTTATTTAATTTTGTCAATGCGTAAATAAGGACAGAGGTACTCAGTGGTGGTATTAGGTTATCAGTCTTTTGTTTAAAGCTAGCTGGGTGTAAGGAAATGGACCTAATATGTAGGAGTCTTTCTATGCTGCCATCTTTATTCAACCTGTGTTCATGTTGTTTATTTCTCCCAAAGGCAACATATGAAAATGTTTAAACTTATGTAATGTTCAAGAACAGATTTAGTTTCAAGACCTTCAGTTTATAATAGGTAATTTAAAGTGATGCTTGTGGTGGTTGAACCATGCTCAGAGGTGACAGGGCCTTCTTTGTTGCAGGTCCAAGTCTGTGGATGACTCAACATGTCAGGCAGGCCCGCTCCCTCAGTTTTTAAGTCTCGCTTACAAACCCACTTTTATTCACTGGCTTTTGACTCTGTGTAATTTGTTTATAACCGGTCTGAATTCTACAGCGTTAACCATTTGTTATTATATTTTTCCATTTGGATCTATATGTATTTTGTTGTGTGCTTTACTTGTTTCTGCTGTACAGCACTTTGTTGGCCTTGTTGCAGTTTTAAGAGAAATGGTATGGTCATTTAACACACAGCTAGCTGCTGCCACCTAGTGTCATAAAAATGTTACTACAGTTTGAGCCCAACAAATGAACTGTGCAACCACAAAATTAAAAATGTCTCACACACTTATGCATAAACCATTTTCCACTTCGGTCTTAGTTAAGAATGGATTAAAATGTTCCTCAGAATTTCTTTAGGTTTAAGGTACAGACACAGTTTGCTACTCATCACTAGACAGTAAATAAAAAGTAACTAAAGGACACATGAACTTTATTTTTTTAGCTGTAATGCAAAACTAAGAAACTCATTATAGAAGTGGAGAAGACAAAAAAAAAAAGGTTTTCTTTGTCCTCAGTTGTGGAAACGAGCCCTGAACTCAAACGAATGGACTCTATAATAAAGTTCTGAGTGATGATTTCTGGCTGCAGAAAATGTGACAACTAAAATAAAATCATAATTTATTTTAAATTTAATAAAGTTAGTTATTTCGTTGAGCCAGACGTGCTTCCAGATATTCTCTGGTAATATGTTTTTGTACATACACATTATGTGTACATTATTAATGGTGTATTATTTTGATTGAACATAAAGTAAAACACAAAACACATTCCTTTTAACCCGTTACGCATAATCTAGAGACTTTATTGATATAATTCAAAGTTGTTCTTTAAAGATTATTTATTTAGTTTTTTTTTACTGAGCTATTTTCAGATCTTCTTAAAGGCCACTAAAATATAAATTTGAAGTATTTAGGTATAAAAAGACAAACTTTACAGACAAACCCACATCCCCTCCTTCAAAGTGGGAAGCCTAAAAAATAATCTGAATTGTATCGAACAGTCTTCTGTGAAAAAAACAAAAAAGCAAAGGTGAATGAATCTCGGAAGCGTTGAGCCTTTTAGTTGATCCATTTTCTATTCAATGAAACCTCATCTGAAAATGTTCAGTGGGAATATGGCGGTCAAGAATACATTCTTGAAAATACGAAATTGGCAAAAGGCTGCGATATGCCAAAAAGAACTCAGCTGAAAGTCAACCGCCTTCATTTTTCAGTGACAATAATCCCAAATATGCTGGCAATGCAGTAAACGCATACCTAGAGGAAAAGCACACACTCAAACCAGACTGGTTTCACTCAAACCTGGCCATCAACATTATTGAAGCAGGGTGAGATAATCTTGTAGAAAACAGAGAAGTTGGTCAACAGTTGCAAGAAAAAAAAAACAACTTTGATTGTCCGTAAACCTCAAGCCTAACTAAAGGTGAACCCCTCCCCCTCACAGCTTCGATTATGTCCAGAAATGGAGTTTAAATCTAAAGAGAAACGTTTTTATCCTGTGAGCTTTTCCAAGAAAGATTGCACCTAACTTGAGCAAAGAAACAAAATAAGAAACGAGACATGACTCCATGTTTTTCAGAGTAGTGTATTGTAAGTGTATCAAAATTACACAAGATAACAACCTGGAAAGGAAGAAGTGGGATAAGATAACGGATGGATGGAACGTGTATCTGAAATACTTCAGCGTTCTGTAAACATCAAACATTTCTGACAAAAACTTACTCATTTCTGGCTTTTTCAAACACATGTGCAATTTTTAGAGCGGTAGAGTTCAGTCCCACAGACTGCATGTTTGTAATGATGGTGACCACGACCCCCTGTGGGAGGACGGGGGTCTGTCCTCGTAGTTCCGTCTCCTCACTGGGTAACACAAGAAGAACACTGCTGGCCCCCACAGCTCCTCCCGTGTGTGACACGTAATGTCTGCGCTTCCTGCACTGGCCAAATTTTTGCTCTTTCTCCACCACCAGCCAGCCTTGGGCGTACAGCCCATCCTTATCCCAGCTGGCCTCTGTCTTGTCCACAGGCGCCCACAGCTCCATGGCTGTTTTGGGTTTGAGGAAGCCAGGGAGCAATGTCTCATTATCAAGGTAGGCCACCTGGTAGCTATAAAGCAGAGCATTACCGAAGAGCAGCAGGTCTCCTACTGTGGACAGGAAGCCTCCTCCTGCCCATTTGTAGGAGTTGTCAACATATGGACAGTTTACAACACGTCCTCTCTTGTTGACATGATAAAATCTGTGGAGAAGCATCAAAAAGTAAAATGAACCGACATTTGGATTTGATCAGGTCAGTCACTGCAATAACTCCACCTCCTTACAACTCCAACGAAACAACAGTAGCTGTAATTGTAATGAATGACTCAGTTCAAAGCCAGTATTTAAATTTGCCTACAGACACTGGACTGCATTTAAATAGCACTAAATACAGACCTCAGCATGCACTGAAAACGTTTTCACTCAAACCATATGAAGGTGGTCCGGACACCTTTTTAATCTGCATCTGTTTGATCGTCTGATATGTCCTGCACTGAACTGATGTGAGCTCACATAAGCAGCAGAGATATATCACCAGGATGTCTCTGGGAAAAAAGATTTGGTTTCAACTAAGAGCTACAGTATCCTCCAGAATAATCTGAAGAGACAGCTTTTACATTTGTTTGTTTTTCTGCTAAAAGTTGTTAACTGTTTACCAGACTCATTTAAAATGTCAACTTTGTTTGGATTTTATTATTCAGAGTGGATAACCTGAACACTGCTTAGCAAATGTCTCTAAAGTTTGTTTTGATTGATTTTAGAGCTGATTGCATCCACTGTGCTCACTGTAAGCTACGATGAACTGTGATAGTCTGAGCAGCATTTAGCTGCATTAAATTCACCTAATGAGACACTGATGGTACGGTCAAAGTCCAACTGATGGCGGTCGACAAACCGTTTTACTGTGGTGGAATTTACTTTGGTTAAAATCTCTTTGCTCCGTCACCCAGGCTACGTTCACACCGCACGTCTTAATGCTCAATTCTGTTTTTTGATCAGGTGCAATGTATATATATTTTTTTGTATCATTCACATTCTCATTCAAATGCAACCTCCATCAGACTCCAGTGTGAGTGTTTAAAATTCTGAGGTGACCTGCATGTGCACAAGCAGTCATGACGTCACATGCAGACAGCTGTGTTTAAGGAAGTAAATATGGATGCTACACATATTAGCATGTGTGCATCGATTCTGAAGTTGTTTTGCAAGCAGAACTGAATAAAATACTCTCCGGCATGATTGTTTGGTCCAGTGTTTACATTTAATCTTGCCTCGTGGTGGCTCCTCTGACAGGATTGTATTTATGTGACGAAAGCGGCGGACTGAAGGTCGAAACAAACTTCAGTATCAATCACATCACACCAGTATTGATACGACACGGTCCGACACTAACGTTAGTATCATATGTTGTGAAGAATTAGTCATCCAGAACCTGGAAAATTACAATTGGACTTTTGTTCTGTAGCTGAAGACACACAGAGTTCCAAGACTTAAACTGCACGAGGTTGGTATCACTATGATGAATACTTGGATCAGTCTGCATCCAATCTAGTGCCACATATAAAAAAGACCAGGGTCGGATTTGAAAAAATAAATACATAAAAAAAAAAAATTTAAAAATCAGAATTGGGCCATATTTGCCTGCAGTGTGAACAGAGCGCAAGTTCTGTGAAACACTAATTATCAAATGCTGGTTTATTTCTCTCATAACTCCACAAATATGCAACTCAAATGGCTCTGAACCATGTTAATGTTAAAATCATAAAGTTCAGATGTGTCAATGATTTGTAATTTTTTAGAGAATCATTAGCAGACCTTGTTGGTCACTGATAGCCCACTGGGTGACATAGCTACGTTTCTTGTTCGCAGACAAACATTATATCAAGACGCAGGACTACAAGACGAATAGTGGCACCACAAAGTAAAAGCAGCCCCTTGCCCCTGACTACAAAATACAATATGGCATCCTCTAAAAATCAGGCTTCATTTTAAGACAACGAATGCTAATGGAGTCGCTTTGTCCATTTTTCTCTATGTTGATGGTGTACTGACATACAGAGCAGGTAACTGGCATCCGATCACAAAAACACTTTGGATATTTCCAATCAAAGCTGACCACTTACAATCAAGTCACTCAAGGATTTGTAATGCAAAGTCATTGAGATCTTCCTGCACTCAGCTGTGAAGCGCTATGACACATTATAGTGGACAGAGTGGACGTAGAGATTATCAATTACCTGGAGCGATGGTAAATAATGGGGTCGTTCTCATCAGGAATCGTGCTGAGCATTCCCAGCTCACGAAACATGGTCATCATCAGATCCAGAAAGTGCCGACCGGCAGCCCGCTCCAAAACAGCACTGAGAAGGGTGAAGGCATGAGTGGAGTACAGGAACGTGGTGCCTACATGTAGTAAAACCCAAATCTGATTCATCGTGGCATTACTTTCAAAGATCTGTTAGATTTTAAACCAAGATGTGAAAACTGAGCATGTGTTTTTACCCGGCTTGAAAATGAGAGGGTCGTCCTTAAAGAGGTCCAGGGCCTCAATGACTCTTTCAAACTTGTCCTTTAAGTAGTACTCCTCATGCTCAAACTCTTTTTTCTTTCTAGCCTGACTGGATTCTTTACCTTTAGCGTTCTGATCTGTTGTTGGCTTGTCTTTGTTCCCAGATGAGCTCTTATCCTCCTCTTTATCTTTAACTGGTGGCTTTAAAAGTCGCTTTGCTTTCTCTCTGTCCTCCTTCACTTTCTTTGGATCCTTCTCATAGTGTCTGATACCACTCAGGTGCGACAGAAGCATACGAGATGTTATTGTGACCTGAAGAAACATAAAGCAGGAATGAACAAAGCTGCTAAGATGAGAAGCACAGTTACTAATAAACTGACTTACATCTTGTCCATCGAACTGTTTCTGGGGAAACTCTGGGACGTATTTCTGGACGGGGACATCCAGATCAAGTTTCCCGTCCTCGCAGAGTCGTGCAGCAGCTACACTTGTGAAGGGTTTACTAATGCTGGCTATTCGCATGATGGTGTCTGATGTGCACGGGACTCGGTTCTCCAAATCAGCATAACCCATACCTGAATTTCATGAACAGGTTCAATTGAAGAATAAATGTTAAAGAATTATTGACATTAAAACTTTTAGGACTAAATCTTACAGTTGATCACAGCTGTGGAAAAATGAAACATGAAATTAATTTTAAAAAGTTGTGCGGAAACAAAAACAAATTTGATTTGCTTTGAACTGTACGATCCTACAAATGTGGAATGTATATATATATATATATATATATATATATATATATATATATATATATATATATACACACACACACACACACATATATATATATATA